CTAACCAACATTAGAACCCTACCTTATCCGTTCTTTGTCACCTTGCCTAGTGGATACAAAGTGAAAGTGACAGAAATTGGTGATTCTTTCCTTAGTCCTAAACTAACTTTGGTTAGAGTCTTGTATGTACCGAGTTTCATACAACCTCATTTCAAACCACTCATTAACAGTGCATCTTGATTGCATGGTTAATTTCAACAAGTATCTTTGTCTAATGCAGTCCTCTTCAATGAAGAGGCCTCTGGAGATTGGTAAGGCAAGAAATGGATTATATTTTCTTTGTTCAAAGTGTCCCAGCTGTTCAAACTTGAGTCCATCTACTGCTTCAATTTCTAGTTTGTCTCATTCTTGTGTTTCCATTTCTGATAAAAATGCAGTAAGAAAAAGGATCAAACTCATCCATCTCATTCATTACCAACTATAAATGATCCATCTTGCCCATTGAACAATGTAAATAGTATCCATTCATGCAATAAAACAGATCCTTTTACTGTGAGTTCTTCTTCTATATGTTATGCATCTTATGGAAATAATGTTGATTACTTGTGGCACAATAGGCTAGGACATGTACCTTATGTGAAAATGATGAAAATATCTACTAAGCCAGCCAATTTTGCTCCCAAACAACCTTTTATTTGTTCAATATGCCCTATGGTTAGACAAACTAGGCTGTCATTCCCCGAAAGAACCACTTCATCCACGAAAATCTTTGAATTACTCCATGTAGACCTGTGGGGGCCTACCATACATCAGCACACGATAATTAAAAATACTTTCTTAACATGGTTGATGATTTTAGTAGGTCAACTTGGACTCACCTCTTAAGTTGAAAAAGTAATACATTTCATGCCATTAAAAGTTTTCTGTCCATGATTGAAAATCAGTTTGACACCTCAGTTAAGACCATTAGATCTGACAATGGTCTAGAATTTGTTAACAATGAAACCATGATTTACTTCCAAGAAAAAGGCATAGTATATCATAAAACTTGTTCATACACACCACAACAAAATGGTGTGGTGGAAAGAAAATACAAATACCTACTTGAAACAGCAAGAGCCCTTCTTTACCAGTCCAAACTATCCATAAGGTACTGTAGAGAGTGCATTCTGACAGCTACATATATAATAAATAGGCTCCCATCCACTATTCTTAATGACAAAATCCCTTTTGAACTTCTGTACATCAAAAGGCCCAAATATTCACAACTCAAGAGTTTTAGCTACCTGTGCTCCCTTGTACACAGAAAACTCACAGAGACAAGTTTGAACCAAGTGTCACACCTCATATGTTTGTAGGTTTATCCCTTTGGTACAAAAGGTTACAAGGTCCTAGACTCATCCACAAAAAGAATACATATATCTAGAGATGTAATATTCCATGAAAATATTTTTCCTTTTGCAGTTTTACCTGAACATTCCAATTTCCCTTCTGTATTGCATATGATAAATTGCAATCTATCTTGCTTCCATCCTACTTCTGGGGAGTCAAATGATTGTAGCATGTATGATGAAGATGCATCAATTTCGGTCACTGATAGACCTGTAAATGATACTGTTGCACCTGTTCTTCCACCTAGTTCACCTTTTTGTCCATCTAGTTTAACAACACCTAATCAGATGTCAAGCTCACACATGTCTCCAGAAAATAACCCTGGTTCTCAGCCATCCACACATGCACAGTCCACTGAATCTCAAGACATTGAGTCCAATAATCTTCAAATAAATCCCTCAATTCCTAGAAGATCGGGCAGAACTCATACTACTCCTACACACCTCAAAGACTATGTGTTAAAAGATGCCAACTCTTCAACATCAAAATACAGAATCTGAACATCACACCATTCACACATCATTCAATGTATTCTGCAACAATCAACAATATGTCTCTTTTAATGTCTTGAATCTTGAGAATCAACAATTACTTAGAAACATTTCACATGATTGTGAGTCATCTTCTTATACGGAGGAATCTATGAATTCAGCATGGCAAATGACAATGACACAAGAATTTGAAGCTTTATATGCTAACCATACTTGGGATCTAGTTGAAATGCCTGCAGGAAAGAAAGCTATAGGTTGTAAAGGGTATACAAGATCAACTACAAGGCAGATAAAAGTGTAGAAAGATTCAAAGCAAGGCTTGTAGTGAAGGGATACACACAAGAAACAGGAATTGATTACATAGAGACTTTCTCACCAGTGGTGAAAATGACCACAATCAGAACACTAATCAGCATTGCAGTGAAGAGAGGGTAGAATCTCTATCAACTAGATGTAAACAATGTATTTCTTTATGGGGATCTACATAAAGAAGTGTACATGGAGATTCCACAAGGTTTAATGACACCTAATGGAAATCTAGTATGCAAATTTAGGAAGTCACTATATGGTTTAAAACAAGCTAGCAGACAATGGTCTGACAAATTGACAAAGTCTCTGCATTCTAGGGGCTTTAGACGTTCAGCTAGTGATTACTCACAGTCTACAAGAAACAAGGGAACTCGACAGTCTTTGTAGCTGTTTATGTAGATGATGTAATTCTTACAGGTACCAACTTGGAGGAAATTACAGAACTGAAGGCTTTCCTACATAAGCAATTTAAAATAAAGGATCTTGGGAAGTTACACTACTTCTTGGGGCTAGAAATGTTGTACAAGTCTTATGGAGTACTGATTTGCCAGAGAAAATTCATTATAGACCTACTGAAAGAGTATGATTGCTTGACATATTCCCCTATTAGCTCTCACTTGATTCTACCATTAAATTAAGAAGTGATGAGGGAACCTTGTTGTCTGGCCCACAGTCCTACAGGAAGCTAGTTGGGAAGTTAAATTTCTTAGCAAATACAAGACTGGATATTGCCTACAGTGTCTAACATTTGAGCCAGTTTATGTAGGCAACAAGGGAACCTCACCTAAAAGCTGTTGTACATGTTCTTAGATACTTGAAGAAAGATCCTACTTTGGGGATATTTTTGTCCGATGACCCTAGCTATATTGTAAATGCATATTGTGACTCGGATTGGGCTGTTTGTCGTGATTCAAGAAGATCTGTGAGTGGATACATTGTGTTGCTTGGGGATAGCCCTATTAGTTGGAAGTCAATGAAACAAACTACTGTCTCACTATCTTTTGCAGAAGCAGAGTATAGGTCAATCAGGAAAGTTGTTGGTGAGTTGGCATGGATAAAGAGATTGCTAGAAGAGCTGACAGTCATGTGTACCAATCCCATAACTGTATTTTGTGACAATCAAGCAGCTGTTCATATTACAAGAAATCCTGTATTCCATGAGAGGACAAAGCATATCGATGGGGATTGCCACTTTATCCGGGATAAGATACAAGATGAGCTAGTCGAACTACATCACATTTCCAACTATGCTCAATTGGCTGACATCTTAACAAATGCCCTCACATGAGTTAAACACTCTGATCTTCCCAGCAAGTTGGCAGTGAGTTCCACACCTCCAACTTGAGAGGGGTATTGAGAATAATTAATGTAATATTTATGTGTATACGCAGTTGAGTTAGTTAGCCATGTAGTAGTTAGTTAGCTATGTAGTTGAGTTAGTTAGAGTGACATTTTTATAATTAGTAGTCATGTTTTAATTCTCTCTTAGACACTCGCGTATATACACTTCTCAGACATGGAAATAATACACAATTTCATTTTCTCCAATTCTTCTAATCTCTAGAACCTTCTCTGAAGCTCGGCTAGGTTCATCAATGGAGAAATGTCGATTGTTCTGATCTCCATCTTCAACGGTTAGCATTATTTGAGTTATTAATATTAATGGTTATAAAACTTATTGGAGCATTCAAAAGTTCTAAGTCCAACCTTGAAATAATACCTTAAAAGATAAAATTATGAAAAAATTTAAGAAATATTTATAAATTACATCACAATAAGTATGTTTATATATTAAATATATTTAGAATTTCTATATATATATATTGTCGGGTTGGTTTGGTTTCGATTTGACTTTATTTAGTTAAAACTAAACCAGACTAATTATGATCGGGTTTTTTTTCCAACACCAAATCAAATCAAACCGAATCATAGTCGAATTTTTTTCTCGGTTTGACTCGAATTATCGGATTAGTACGGTTTGTCGGTTTCTTTTGTACACCCCTTTCTGACGGTCTTACTATTTGGTCTTTCACTGATTCAAGGACGTCAAAGCCTAATTAATTTCAATTTCCTTCATCATTTATTCCAGAATTCCAACAATCTGATCAATTAGTTTGAGTTGTTTTTGGTCTTAAAGAAAATTTTAGTCAAGCATTTTTTTTACGCGCAATATACACAAGTTCTCGTAAAAAAAAAAAAAAAAAAAAAAAATTTT